ATCTGTCAGGTGAGGTCCCTGTGAGAGATCGCTCTAGTGTGTATGTTCAATCTGTCAGGTGAGGTCACTGTGAGAGATCGCTCTAGTGTGTATGTTCAATCTGTCAGGCAAGGTACCTGTGAGAGAGTGAGAGATCGCTCTAGTGTGTATGTTCAATCTGTCAGGTGAGGTCACTGTGAGAGATCGCTCTATTGTTTATGTTCAATCTGTCAGGTGAGGTCAATGGGAGAGATCGCTCGAGGGTTTATGTTTAATCTGTCAGGTGAGGTCACTGTGAGAGATCGCTCTATTGTGTATGTTCAATCTGTCAGGTGAGGTCACTGTGAGAGGTCGCTCTAGAGTGTATGTTTAATGTACTAGGTAAGATCACTGTGAGAGATCGCTCTATTGTGTATGTTTAATCTGCCAGGTGAGGTCACAGTGAGATATCTCTCTAGTGTGTCTGTTCAATCTGTCAGGTGAGGTACCTGTGAGAGATCGCTCTATTGTGTATGTTCAATCTGTCAGGTGAGGTCACTGTGAGAGGTCGCTCTAGAGTGTATGTTTAATGTACTAGGTAAGATCACTGTGAGAGATCGCTCTATTGTGTATGTTCAATCTGCCAAGTGAGGTCACTGTGAGAGATCACTCTAGTGTGTCTGTTCAATCTGCCAGGGAAGGCACCTGTGAGAGATCGCTCCAGTGTGTATGTTTATTCTGTCAGGTGAGGTCACTGTGAAAGGTCGCTCTAGTGTTTATGTTCATTCTGTCAGGTGAGGTCACTGTGAGAGGTCGCTATAGTGCGTCTGTTCAATCTGTCAGGTGAAGTCACTGTGAGAGGTCGCTATAGTGTGTCTGTTCATTCTGTCAGGTGAGGTCACTGTGAGAGATCGCTCTATTGTTTATGTTCAATCTGTCAGGTGAGGTCACTGGGAGAGATCGCTCGAGTGTGTATGTTCATTCTGTCAGGTGAGGTCACTGTGAGAGATCGCTCTATTGTTTATGTTCAATCTGTCAGGTGAGGTCACTGGGAGAGATCGCTCTATTGTGTATGTTCAATCTGTCAGGTGAGGTCACTGTGAGAGGTCGCTCTAGAGTGTTTGTTTAATGTACTAGGTAAGATCACTGTGAGAGATCGCTCTATTGTGTATGTTTAATCTGCCAGGTGAGGTCACAGTGAGATATCTCTCTAGTGTGTCTGTTCAATCTGTCAGGTGAGGTACCTGTGAGAGATCGCTCTATTGTGTATGTTCAATCTGTCAGGTGAGGTCACTGTGAGAGGTCGCTCTAGCGTGTATGTTTAATGTACTAGGTAAGATCACTGTGAGAGATCGCTCTATTGTGTATGTTCAATATGCCAAGTGAGGTCACTGTGAGAGATCACTCTAGTGTGTCTGTTCAATCTGCCAGGGAAGGCACCCGTGAGAGATCGCTCCAGTGTGTATGTTTATTCTGTCAGGTGAGGTCACTGTGAAAGGTCGCTTTAGTGTTTATGTTCATTCTGTCAGATGAGGTCACTGTGAGAGGTCGCTATAGTGTGTCTGTTCAATCTGTCAGGTGAGGTCACTGTGAGAGGTCGCTATAGTGTGTATGTTCATTCTGTGAGGTGAGGTCACTGTGAGAGATCGCTCTATTGTTTATGTTCAATCTGTCAGGTGAGGTCACTGGGAGAGATCGCTCGAGTGTGTATGTTCATTCTGTCAGGTGAGGTCACTGTGAGAGATCGCTCTAGTGTTAATGTTCAATCTGCCAGGTGAGGCTACTGTGAGAGATTGCTCGAGTGTTTATGTTTAATCTGTCAGGTGAGGTCACTGTGAGAGGTCGCTCTAGTGTATGCTCATTCTGTCAGGTGAGGTCACTGTGAGAGATCGCTCTAGTGTGAATGTTATTTCTGTCAGGTAAGGTCACTGTGAGAGATCGCTCTAGTGTGTCTGTTCAATCTGCCAGGTGAGGTACCTGTGAGAGATCGCTCTAGTGTGTCTGTTCAATCTGCCAGGTGAGGTCACTGTGAGAGATCGCTCTAGTGTGTCTGTTCAATCTGCCAGGTGAGGTACCTGTGAGAGATCACTCTAGTGTGTCTGTTCAATCTGCCAGGTGAGGTCACTGTGAGAGATCGCTCTAGTGTTTATGTTCAATCTGTCAGGTGAGGTCCCTGTGAGAGATCGCTCTAGTGTGTCTGTTCAATCTGCCAGGTGAGGTAGCCGTGAGAAATCGCTTTAGTGTTTATGTTTCATATGTCAGGCGAGATCACTGTGAGAGGTCGCTATAGTGTGTATGTTCATTCTGTCAGGTGAGGTCCCTGTGAGAGATCGCTCTAGTGTGTCTGTTCAATCTGCCAGGTGAGGTAACTGTGAAAGATCGCTCTAGTGTGTCTGTTCAATCTGCCAGGTGAGGTAACTGTGAGAGATCGCTCTAGTGTGTCTGTTCAATCTGCCAGGTGAGGTACCTGTGAGAGATCGCTCTAGTGTGTCTGTTCAATCTGCCAGGTGAGGTACCTGTGAGAGATCGCTCTAGTGTTTATGTTCAATCTGTCAGGTGAGGTACCTGTGAAAGATCGTTTTTGTCTTTATGTTCATTCTGCCAGGTGAGGTCACTGTAAGAGATTGCTCGAGTGTTTATGTTTAATCTGTCAGGTGAGGTCACTGTAAGAGATTGCTCGAGTGTTTATGTTTAATCTGTCAGGTGAGGTCACTGTAAGAGATTGCTCGAGTGTTTATGTTTAATCTGTCAGGTGAGGTCACTGTAAGAGATTTGCTCGAGTGTTTATGTTTAATCTGTCAGGTGAGGTCACTGTAAGAGATATGCTCGAGTGTTTATGTTTAATCTGTCAGGTGAGTCACTGTGAGAGATCGCTCTATTGTGTATGTTCAATCTGCCAGGTGAGGTAGCCGTGAGAAATCGCTTAGTGTTATGTTTCATTATGTCAGGCGAGATCACTGTGGNAATCTGCCAGGTGAGGTAACTGTGAGAGATCGCTCTAGTGGTGTCTGTTCAATCTGCCAGGTGAGGTACCTGTGAGAGATCGCTCTAGTGTGTCTGTTCAATCTGCCAGGAGGTGAGAGATCGTACCTGAGGTGAGAGATCGCTCTAGTGTTTATGTTCAATCTGTCAGGTGAGGTACCTGTGAAAGATCGTTTTTGTCTTTATGTTCATTCTGCCAGGTGAGGTCACTGTAAGAGATTGCTCGAGTGTTTATGTTTAATCTGTCAGGTGAGGTCACTGTAAGAGATTGCTCGAGTGTTTATGTTTAATCTGTCAGGTGAGGTCACTGTAAGAGATTGCTCGAGTGTTTATGTTTAATCTGTCAGGTGAGGTCACTGTAAGAGATTGCTCGAGTGTTTATGTTTAATCTGTCAGGTGAGGTCACTGTAAGAGATTGCTCGAGTGTTTATGTTTAATCTGTCAGGTGAGGTCACTGTGAGAGATCGCTCTATTGTGTATGTTCAATCTGCCAGGTGAGGTAGCCGTGAGAAATCGCTTTAGTGTTTATGTTTCATATGTCAGGCGAGATCACTGTGAGAGGTCGCTATAGTGTGTATGTTCATTCTGTCAGGTGAGGTCCCTGTGAGAGATCGCTCTAGTGTGTCTGTTCAATCTGCCAGGTGAGGTAACTGTGAGAGATCGCTCTAGTGTGTCTGTTCAATCTGCCAGGTGAGGTAACTGTGAGAGATCGCTCTAGTGTGTCTGTTCAATCTGCCAGGTGAGGTACCTGTGAGAGATCGCTCTAGTGTGTCGTGTCAATCTGCCAGGTGAGGTACCTGTGAGAGATCGCTCTAGTGTTTATGTTCAATCTGTCAGGTGAGGTACCTGTGAGAGATCGTTTTTGTCTTTATGTTCATTCTGCCAGGTGAGGTCACTGTAAGAGATTGCTCGAGTGTTTATGTTTAATCTGTCAGGTGAGGTCACTGTAAGAGATTGCTCGAGTGTTTATGTTTAACCTGTCAGGTGAGGTCACTGTAAGAGATTGCTCGAGTGTTTATGTTTAATCTGTCAGGTGAGGTCACTGTAAGAGATTGCTCGAGTGTTTATGTTTAATCTGTCAGGTGAGGTCACTGTAAGAGATTGCTCGAGTGTTTATGTTTAATCTGTCAGGTGAGGTCACTGTGAGAGATCGCTCTATTGTGTATGTTCAATCTGTCAGGTGAGGTACCTGTGAGATGTCGCTTTAGTGTTTATGTTCATTCTGCCAGGTAAGGTACCTGTGAGAGATTGCTCTAGTGTGTATGTTTAATCTGTCAGGTGAGGTATTTGTGAACGGTCGCTCTAGTGCGCCTGTTCAATTTGTCAGGTGAGGTCACTGGGAGAGATCGGTCTTGTGTGTTCAGTCTCTCAGTTTATTTACCTGAAAGAGGTCGCTCGTGTGTGTTCAATCTCTCAGTTTATTTACAAGATAGAGGTCGCTCTAGTGTGTTCAGTCTCTCAGTTTATTTACAAGATAGAGGTCGCTCTAGTGTGTTCAGTCTCTCAGTTTATTTACAAGATAGAGGTCGCTCTAGTGTGTTCAGTCTCTCAGTTTATTTACATGATAGAGGTCGCTCTAGTGTGTTCAGTCTCTCAGTTTATTTACATGATAGAGGTCGCTCTAGTGTGTTCAGTCTCTCAGTTTATTTACCTGAAAGAATTCGCTCTTGTGTGTTAAGTCTCTCAGTTTATTTACCTGAAAGAGGTCGCCACATTTCTCCCAGATTTACGGTATTTACCATGGAATCAAGGCTGAAGGGTTGCGATATCCACAATACCGAGCCTAAGGATTAACAACTCATGGCTTCTGGATAAAAAAAAAAATGTATGTATATATACATATGGGATGGGCTAAAACGATGGCGAGGAGGGATATCACCAAGAGGGCTGTTACAGGCAATCAGGAATCGAGATCTGTGGAGACGCATGATCGCCTATGCCAGTTGGCAAGGCACATGATATATGTATAAAAAAAGAAAGAGAGACGGTAAAAGTCCCCAAAAGAAAAGGGGGGGGGGGGGGGGGGGGAGTAATGATTAGAGAGACGAGAGACGGAAAAAATGTGCTAGGGATTTTCAAAGGGAGCTGTCACAGTTAAATAGAACGGTCATATAATATCGCCAGGTGACCGCCACGTCGCCGCGGCTCACTATGATGATGAGAAAGCCCTAAGAACCGCCCTGCTGGACAACTACGAGCCGGCGATCCGCCCTGACAGAAAGGTCACGGTCACTGTCAGCCTCAGTTTGCTCAGTGTCAACGTCTTGGTGAGTGTGTGATGATGATCTTGTCGGTAAAGTTTCATTGTTCATTCATGTAATGTTGATGATTGTTTATTGTAATGTTAACTATTGTGTGATGATGATCTTGTCGGTAAAGTTTCATTGTTCATTCATGTAATGTTGATGATTGTTTATTGTAATGTTGACTATTAGGTTGATGGTTTTGTATTGTACTGTTGGTGGTTGTATATTGTAATGTTGGTTGTTGTGTAATGTAATGTTGATTGTTGTATATTGATTGTAATGTTAGTCTTTGTGTATTGTAATGTTGGTCTTTGTGTATTGCAATGTTGGTCTTTGTGTATTGCAATGTTGGTCTTTGTGTATTGTAATGTTGGTCTTTGTGTATTGCAATGTTGGTCTTTGTGTATTGTAATGTTGGTCTTTGTATATTGCAATGCTGGTCTTTGTGTATTGCAATGCTGGTCTTCGTGTATTGTAATGTTGGTCTTTGTGTATTGCAATGTTGGTCTTTGTGTATTGTAATGTTGGTCTTTGTGTATTGCAATGTTGGTCTTTGTGTATTGTAATGTTAGTCTTTGTGTATTGTAATGTTGATCTTTGTGTATTGCAATGTTGATCTTTGTGTATTGCAATGTTGGTTTTTGTGTATTGCAATGTTGGTCTTTGTGTATTGCAATGTTGGTCTTTGTGTATTGCAATGTTGGTCTTTGTGTATTGTAATGTTGGTCTTTGGGTATTGCAATGCTGGTCTTTGTGTATTGTAATTTTGGTCTTTGTGTATTGCAATGTTGGTCTTTGTGTATTGCAATGTTGGTCTTTGTGTATTGTAATGTTGGTCTTTGTGTATTGTAATGTTGGTCTTTGTGTATTGCAATGCTGGTCTTTGTGTATTGTAATGTTGGTCTTTGTGTATTGTAATGTTGGTCTTTGTGTATTGTAATGCTGGTCTTTGTGTATTGTAATGTTGGTCTTTGTGTATTGTAATGTTGGTCTTTGTGTATTGTAATGCTGGTGGTTGTGTACTCAAATATTCTTACCTGTGTATTGGTGGCTGTGTATTCTAATGATGATGGATGTGTTTTGTAATTTTGGTGTATGTGTTTTGTAATTTTGTTGGATGTGTTTTGTAATTTTGGTGGATGTGTTTTGTAATTTTGGTAGATGTGTTTTGTAATTTTGGTGGATGTGTTTTGTAATTTTGGTGTATGTGTTTTGTAATTTTGGTGGATGTGTTTTGTAATTTTGGTGGATGTGTTTTGTCATTTTGGTGGACGTGTTTTGTAATTTTGGTGGATGTGTTTTGTAATTTTGGTGTATATGTTTTGTAATTTTGGTGGATGTGTTTTGTAATTTTGGTGGATGTGTTTTGTAATTTTGGTGGATGTGTTTTGTAATTTTGGTGAATGTGTTTTGTAATTTTGGTAGATGTGTTTTGTAATTTTGGTGGATGTGTTTTGTAATTTTGGTGGATGTGTTTTGTAATTTTGGTGGATGTGTTTTGTAATTTTGGTGTATGTGTTTTGTAATTTTGGTGGATGTGTTTTGTAATTTTGGTGTATGTGTTTTGTAATTTTGGTGAATGTGTTTTGTAATTTTGGTGGATGTGTTTTGTAATTTTGGTGGATGTGTTTTGTAATTTTGGTGGATGTGTTTTGTAATTTTGGTGGATGTGTTTTGTAATTTTGGTGTATGTGTTTTATAATTTTGGTGGATGTGTTTTGTAATTTTGGTGGATGTGTTTTGTAATTTTGGTGTATGTGTTTTGTAATTTTGGTGGATGTGTTTTGTAATTTTGGTGGATGTCTTTTGTCATTTTGGTGGATGTGTTTTGTCATTTTGGTGGATGTGTTTTGTAATTTTGGTGTATGTGTTTTGTAATTTTGGTGGATGTGTTTTGTAATTTTGGTGGATGTGTTTTGTAATTTTAGTGGATGTGTTTTGTAATTTTGGTGGATGTGTTTTGTAATTTTGGTGGATGTGTTTTGTAATTTTGGTGGATGTGTTTTGTAATTTTGGTAGATGTGTTTTGTAATTTTGGTGTATGTGTTTTGTAATTTTGGTGTATGTGTTTTGTAATTTTGGTGGATGTGTTTTGTAATTTTGGTGTATGTGTTTTGTAATTTTGGTGGATGTGTTTTGTAATTTTGGTGGATGTTTTTTGTAATTTTGGTGGATGTGTTTTGTAATTTTGGTAGATGTGTTTTGTAATTTTGGTGGATGTGTTTTGTAATTTTGGTGTATGTGTTTTGTAATTTTGGTGTATGTGTTTTGTAATTTTGGTGGATGTGTTTTGTAATTTTGGTGGGTGTGTTTTGTAATTTTGGTGGATGTGTTTTATGCAGTTAGATCCTGGGCATTGTAATGTTGGTGGTGTTTTAATGTATTGTTGATGGTTCTAAATTGTAATATTGGTGACTGTGTATTCTAATGCTAATAAATGTTTATTGTAGTTCTGATGTTGATGTGGACACCGGACCTCAGCCTGAGCTCGTTTCCACAACCTCGTAGGTAACTTGGTCTGTGTGAACACCTGAACTCGTTTCCACATCCTCACGTAGTTCACTTAGTCTGTGTGAACACCTGCCCTCGTTTTCACATCCTCACGTAGTTCACTTAGTCTGTGTGAACACCTGCCCTCGTTTTCACATCCTCACGTAGTTCACTTAGTCTGTGTGAACACCTGCCCTCGTTTTCACATCCTCACGTAGTTCACTTAGTCTGTGTGAACACCTGCCCTCGTTTTCACATCCTCACGTAGTTCACTTGGTCTGTGTGGACACCTGACCTCGTTTCCACAACCTCACGTAGTCTGTGTGAACACCTGACCTCGTTTCCACAACCTCATGTAGTTCACTTGGTCTGTGTGGACACCTCACCTCGTTTCCACAACCTCATGTAGTTCACTTGGTCTGTGTGGACACCTGACCTCGTTTCCACAACTTCATGCAGTTCACTTGGTCTGTGTGGACACCGGACCTCGTTTCCACAACCTCATGTAGTTCACTTGGTCTGTGTGGACACCGGACCTCGTTTCCACAACCTCACGTAGTTCACTTAGTCTGTGTGGACACCTGACCTCGTTTCCACAACCTCATGTAGTTCACTTAGTTTGTGTGGACACCTGAACTCGTTTCCACAACCTCACGTAGTTCACTTAGTCTGTGTGGACACCTGACCTCGTTTCCACAACCTCACTTAGTTCACTTAGTCTGTGTAGACACCTGACCTCGTTTCCACAACCTCATGTAGTTCACTTAGTCTGTGTGAACACCTGACCTCGTTTCCACAACCTCACGTAGTTCACTTAGTCTGTGTGGACACCGGACCTCGTTTCCACAACCTCATGTACTTCACTTGGTCTGTGTGGACACCGGACCTCGTTTCCACAACCTCGTAGGTCACTTGGTCTGTGTGAACACCGGACCTCGTTTCCACAACCTCACCTAGATCACTTGGTCTGTGTGGACACCTGACCCCGTTTCCACAACCTCACGTAGTTCACTTGGTCTGTGTGGACACCTGAACAATCACAAACCTAGTGCTTGCTGACACTAGCTAGTGGATCTTCAGTGGTGGTGATGATGATTTTGTCATGTTGTTGTGACAGTCGTCATGTTGATTGTTGTCATGATGTTGGTGACAGTTGCAATGTTGTTTGTTGTCATGTTGATTATTGTGATGTTGATTTTTGTCATGTTGATTGTTTTCATGTTGTTGGTGACAGTTGTCGTGTTGATTATTGTTATGATGTTAGTGACAGTTGTAATGTTGTTGGTGACAGTTGTCATGTTGTTGGTGACAGTTGTCATGTTGTTGGTGACAGTTGTCATGTTGATTATTGTCATATTGTTGGTGACAGTTGTCATGTTGTTTGTTGTCATGTTGTTGGTGACAGTTGTCATGTTGTTGGTGACAGTTGTCATGTTGTTTGTTGTCATGGTGTTGGTGACAGTTGTCATGTTGTTTGTTGTCATGTTGTTGGTGACAGTTGTCATGTTGTTTGTTGTCATGTTGTTGGTTACAGTTGCCATGTTGTTTGTTGTCATGTTGTTGGTTACAGTTGTCATGTTGTTGGTGACAGTTGTCATGTTGTTGGTTACAGTTGTCATGTTGTTTGTTGTCATGTTGTTGGTTACAGTTGTCATGTTTTTGGTTACAGTTGTCATGTTGTTTGTTGTCATGTTGTTGGTGACAGTTGTCATGTTGTTTGTTGTCATGTTGTTGGTTACAGTTGTCATGTTGTTTGTTGTCATGTTTGGTTACAGTTGTCATGTTGTTGGTGACAGTTGTCATGTTGTTGGTGACAGTTGTCATGTTGTTGGTGACAGTTGTCATTTTGTTGTTGACAGTTGTCACGTTGATTGTTGTCATGTGGATTATTGTCATGTTGATTGTTGTCATGTTTTTGCTGATGGTGGTCATGTTGATTGTTGTCATGTTGATTATTGTTATGTTGATTGTTGTCATTTTATTTCAGATGGTTGTCATATTCATTGTTGTCATGTTGATTATTGTCATGTTGATTGTTGTCATGTTTTTGCTGACGGTGGTCATGTTGATTGTTGTCATGTTGTTGGTGCACGGTTGTCATGTTGATTTTTGTCATGTTGATTATTGTTATGTTAGCTAGGATGGTTGTCATGTTGATTATTGTCATGTCGTTGGTAATGGTTGTCATGTTGATTGTTGTCATGTTGATTGTTGTCATGTTGTTAGTGACAGTTGTCATGTTTATTGTTGTCATGTTGTTGGTGACAGTTGTCATGTTGATTATTGTCATGTTGATTATTGTTATATTGATTGTTGTCATTTTATTTCAGATGGTTGTCATATTCATTGTTGTCATGTTGATTATTGTCATGTTGATTGTTGTCATGTTTGTGCTGACGGTGGTCATGTTGATTTTTGTCATGTTGATTATTGTTATGTTGGCTAGGATGGTTGTCATGTTGATTATTGTCATGTCGTTGGTAATGGTTGTCATGTTGATTGTTGTCATGTTGATTGTTGTCATGTTGTTAGTGACAGTTGTCATGTTTATTGTTGTCATGTAGTTGGTGACAGTTGTCATGTTGATTATTGTCATGTTTTTGGTGACGGTTGTCATGTTGTTGGTGACGGTTGTCATGTAGTTGGTGACAGTTGTCATGCTGATTATTGTCATGTTGTTGGTGACGGTTGTCATGTTGATTGTTGTCATGTTGTTGGTGACAGTTGTCATGTTGATTATTGTCATGTTGTTGGTGACGGTTACCATGTTGATTATTGTCATGTTGTTGGTGACGGTTGTCATGTTGATTATTGTCATGTTGTTGGTGACGGTTGTCATGTTGATTATTGTTATGTTGTTGGTAACGGTTGCCATGTTGATTATTGTCATGTTGTTGGTGACTGTTTTACTTTTGACTGGTGTAATGTTGATAGACACACACAAATAGAAACAAACACACGTGATCACAGGCACACAGATACACACACAAACAGACACCTGCAGACAGGTACATCCTGGAATGAGCCAGGAGACAGATGTAAGTGGTGGTAAGGGCCCTGGGTAGAAGCAATGAGCCAGGAGACAGATGTAAGTGGTGGTAAGGGCCCTGGGTAGAAGGAATGAGCCAGGAGACAGATGTAAGTGGTGGTAAGGGCCCTAGTTAGAAGGAATGAGCCAGGAGACAGATGTAAGTGGTGGTAAGGGCCCTGGGTAGAAGGAATAAGCCAGGAGACAGATGTACTATTTGTGTGTCGCACTATAACACACCTGATTAATTGTTTCTTAATGTTAACAACAGGATGTGCCCTTGCAGCGACTTTCTGTGTCAGGCTGGCTTTCTTTTGTAAGTACTTCTGTGTGTAAGCACTTCTGTGTGTAAGTACTTCTGTGTGTAAGTACTTCTGTGTGTAAGTACTTCTGTGTTTAAGTACTTACTTCTGTGTGTAAGTACTTCTGTGTGTAAGTACTTCTGTGTGTAAGTACTTCTGTATGTAAGTACTTCTAGGTGTAAGTACTCTGTGTGTAAGTACTTCTGTGTATAAGTATGTACTTATATGTGCCTGATTACTAAGTACTGATTACTGATTTAAGAATCGACATTATTGCACACCATGCATTACAACAGATGCTCCGTCTCAAGCAGTAAATGCTTTAGGGTTTAGATGCTAACTGTTCCCGTGGCACACACTGATTGATTATACACACGTCGTCCTCTTCCTCTCATCCGTCCATACTTTATTCCTCGTTCATACATTCTTGCACATGTTATTTCATCTAATCTTCCGTCTCCAGTCAGCATTTGTTTGTATATGGTCTTCAGAATATCTCCTTTCTCTTGTAGGTGTTCCCATGGTTTTCCAGAATATCTCCTTTCTCTAGTAGGTGTTCCTATGGTTTTCGCTTTTTCAGCCAGAAAATTCACTCTTTCATTTCCTCGCACTCCTGCATGCAGTATTCCCACGTGATTCCCTCGCACTCCTACATGCAGTATTCCCACGTGATTCCCTCGCACTCCTGCATGCAGTATTCCCACGTGATTCCCTCGCACTCCTGCATGCAGTATTCCCACGTGATTCCCTCGCACTCCTGCATGCAGTATTCCCACGTGATTCCCCCGCACTCCTGCATGCAGTATTCCCACGTGATTCACTCGCACTCCTGCATGCAGTATTCCCACGTGATTCCCTCGCACTCCTGCATGCAGTATTCCCACGTGATTCCCTCGCACTCCTGCATGCAGTATTCCCACGTGATTCCCTCGCACTCCTGCATGCAGTATTCCCACGTGATTCACTCGCACTCCTGCATGCAGTATTCCCACGTGATTCCCTCGCACTCCTGCATGCAGTATTCCCACGTGATTCCCTCGCACTCCTGCATGCAGTATTCCCACGTGATTCACTCGTACTCCTGCATGCAGTATTCCCACGTGATTCCCTCGCACTCCTGCATGCAGTATTCCCACGTGATTCCCTCGCACTCCTGCATGCAGTATTCCCACGTGATTCACTCGCACTCCTGCATGCAGTATTCCCACGTGATTCCCTCGCACTCCTGCATGCAGTATTCCCACATGATTCCCTCGCACTCCTGCATGCAGTATTCCCACGTGATTCCCTCGCACTCCTGCATGCAGTATTCCCACGTGATTCCCTCGCACTCCTGCATGCAGTATTCCCACATGATTCCCTCGCACTCCTGCATGCAGTATTCCCACGTGATTCCCTCGCACTCCTGCATGCAGTATTCCCACGTGATTCCCTCGCACTCCTGCATGCAGTATTCCCACGTGATTCCCTCGCACTCCTGCATGCAGTATTCCCACGTGATTCCCTCGCACTCCTGCATGCAGTATTTCCACATGATTCCCTCGCACTCCTGCATGCAGTATTCCCACGTGATTCCCTCGCACTCCTGCATGCAGTATTCCCACGTGATTCCCTCGCACTCCCGCATGCAGTATTCCCACGTGATTCCCTCGCACACCTGCATGCAGTATTCCCACGTGATTCCCTCGCACTCCCGCATGCAGTATTCCCACGTGATTCACTCGCACTCCTGCATGCAGTATTCCCACGTGATTCCCTCGCACTCCTGCATGCAGTATTCCCACGTGATTCCCCCGCACTCCCGCATGCAGTATTCCCACGTGATTCCCTCGCACTCCTGCATGCAGTATTCCCACGTGATTCCCTGCAATGTTGGCATACTGATGCATGTTTCCACTTATGCCACATTCTTCCATTTTGAACCTTCCACAGTGCTGACTGAGAATCAGACACAATATTTCCTCTGGTAACTTTGTTTTCTGCTATCCACATCAGAGCTGGCGTGATTGCCTTCACTTCCATCCTCATGCTTGTCGTTGTAGACAATAGGCTCCATTTTGTTCTGCCACAATTTTCCCCATCATTCTAGTTGAAAATCCCTAGCCAGATCTTACACCCCGATGAACAGAACCATCGGTGTACACTAGTGCATCATCTTACCCAGCCTTTCCATCTATCAGTTGTAGCTCTAATTCTGCCATACCGTGACTTTCTACATTCTCTTCCTAACGTGATAATGACCTAATGGAAACTGCTGTTGTGGGTGTTTGTGTCAATCCATTCCTGCCCCCTGTTTATTTGCTTGACTGATGCCGCCGTCTCGGTGGTATTTTAGCTAGTGCCATCTCTGACTTTCACCTTTTCAACCGGTCTTCTCTCAAATGTGTCAAATTACCATGCAGTGGATGCCTTCCATCATTGGTAACACGCAGAAAGACGTTGGCTTGCGCCAATGGTAGTCTAGACTTGACCGATGTCCGCCCAAAAATATACCTCATTGTTCTAATCGTGGTATCTCGTGTGCAACCTAAGGTGATTTTCATTCATGCATTTTGAATCCTATCAGGCTTTGTACACTGTGAAGTAGATAGTGTTAAATTTCTAAACTATAATCAATTACTGACAGGACCAAATGATTGAACAATATGATCAATAATCACTGCTCCATGTGTGTCGCCAACATCGTCTTCAGTGTCGCCAGGCCACACTTGCATTTAATCACAGTCTGCTCCACGTGATATCTGTAGGACAGACTGCGATCAAACGACAAACCCAAGAATTTTAACTTATCTCTTCTTTCAACATTAATACCCTTCATGAATATGTTGAACAAGTCTTCCTTCCTAATGCTGTTATTTAAAGAGCACCCAAAAACACTGGTTTTCTCTGGATTTACCCTTGACCCTGTATGTTCACACCACTCTGTCATCTCATACGAAGGACATTGCAAGTCTCTGGTCATGTCGACCCTGTCTGACTCGCTTCACAGGTTTATGTAACTAGTAGAACATTGTTTTAATGTTATGTAACTAGTAGAACATTGTTTTAATGTTATGTAACTACTTCGTTTTAATGTTATGTAACTAGTATGTTTTAATGTTATGTAACTGGTAGAACATTGTTTTAATGTTATGTAACTGGTAGAATATTGTTTCAATGTTATGTAACTAGTGGAACATTGTTTCACTGTTATGTAACTGGTAGAACATTGTTTCAATGTTATGAAACTAGTAGAACATTGTTTTAATGTTATGTAACTAGTAGAACATTGTTTTAATATTATGTAACTAGTAGAACATTGTTTTAATCTTATGTAACTAGTAGAACATTGTTTTAATCTTATGTAACTAGTAGAACATTGTTTTAATGTTGTGTAACTAGTAGAACATTGTTTTGATGTTACGTAACTAGTAGAACATTGTTTTGACGTTATGTAACCAGTAAAACATTGTTTTAATGTTGTGTAACTAGTAGTTAAACGGCCGGCTCTCGGTACCACTGTCGCTCTTTGAAGAGCAACTGATAGTCGACGTTTTATTTCTTTCCTTGTGTCACAATTACTCTAGTCGTTTGTAACAACGGCTTCAACAGAATGGTTGAAAATAATTGTTGTCTTGGACTGAGAATATGGCATCGTGTAGCATTAGCAGGTGTTTCAATATGTAGCCACAATCTAGAACAGAGAAAACACAAGAACTACATTTAAGAACAAGAACACAAACCCCTGGAATCTATTCTGTCTGTAACCGAAACGTCGCTTCATTTGTTTTACTGAGTTGTTCTTATCTTTGATATATTCGTGCAGCCCGAAGCTCTTGTTTCATCTCTTTCCTGGAGGGTGTGTGTGTGTGTGTGTGTATGTGTGTGTGTGTGTGACGTCATCATATATTTTGTGTGTGTGTGTGACGTCATCAGAAAGCGTGTTCTGTCTGAGGTCATCAAATAAATGTGTTGTTGACGACGTCATATTTAATGCTGTGTGTTGTTATCAGACATAGCGTTGTATGTAATGTCACCAGATACTGTGTTGTGTGTGATGTCACTAGATTGTGTGTTGTGTGTGATGTCACTAGATATTGTGTTGTATGTGACTGTAAAAGGTATTGTGTGAGACGTAACCAGATGTGTGTGATGTCACCAGATATCTTGTGTGTGTCATCACCAGATATGGTGTTTTGTATAACGTCACCATATATCGTGTTGTGTGTGATTTCATCAGATATTTGGTGAAACCTACCAAATGTGTGTGATGTCACCATATATGGTGTTGTGTGATGTCATCAGAAATCCTGTTATGTCACTGTATTGTGTTCTCTGCTATGCTCGTGTTCCCTCAGACCTGGCACGACCCACGACTCTCCTGGGACCCCGTCTCGTTCGGAAACATCACCGACATCTTTGACACAGAGTTGGTTTTCTGGAGGCCAGAAATAATCGTGGATAATTCGTGAGTTATCTCCCAGTTTTTGTCTTCGTTAGCAAGAGGATGCCAATCAATAATTGGATAGTTTAACTTTGTGCCAGTCAATGATTGGCTGGAGTAACTCCGTGTCAGTAAATACTGGTTGATGTAAAACGGGGTCAGTTAATAACTGGACGGTTTTACATTGTGTCTGTCAAAGGTTGTTTGGGTAATACCATGGTAGCAAATGACTGGCCGATGTAAAGCTGGGTCAGTTGTTAACTGGACGGTTTAAGTCAAAGACTGATGGAGGCAACACGTGCCAATAAATGATTGGTCGACGTAAATCCGGCTCAGTCAATTGTGGATGGTTTAACTGAGTGTCGGTCAATGACTGGTTGGCGTAACAATGTGCCAGTTAATAACTGGTGGATGTTAAGCTGGGTCAGTCAGTAATTGGATGATTTTACATTGTGTCAACAACCTTATATTTTTACCGTCATCCCATTGTGAGATGCATTTTATTTTGTTATTTTGAAGCCCCCTCCTTGCTTTTGCCGGGGGCCCTGAATATAGTTGGGCCCTAAGTGTGGCCAAATAGTTGAACAGGGTTTCCGGGACCTCTCCACGAGTGATCCACATCCGCATAATGATACTTTGTGTCACCGGGTGTTTATCGCTTGTGTGATGTCCTGGTGGGGTGAAATAACCTACCTGTCTGGTGTCAAGTCTATGAGAGGATGGTCTATGAAGTAGTCCGTACTGGTGGCAGAGCACTTATGGTTTATAACCGTGTGCAATGACGCTGGTTCACATCTCCCGACTTGACCTTGACCTTTTATTCAGTCATGTGACATATGATGAGAAGATAGGTATTGGAAAACATCGTGAAGGCTAGAAAGATAAACAGTAGAAGAGACAGGGGCAGACACAAATAAATGGTGCATGACGACCTAAAGCAACAGCATAGTAAACTACCACTAGTGGGGTTGATTCAAAATACCATGACTAAGAGGTGTGTGGAGACTTGAGCGCCTACACCACTAGGCAGAGCACATGTTGATGATAATGCAGAAATCTGAGTTAGTCCTAGCATGTAGATACATGAGCTAAAGTGGGAGATCGTCCTAGTATGTAGTATCTGAGCTGAAGTGGGAGATCGTCGTAGTATGTAGTACCTGAGCTAAAGTGGGAGATCGTCCTAGCATGTAGATCAATGGTTCTCAACTTTCCTAATGCCACGACCTTTTAATACAGTTCCTCATGTTGTAGTGACCCCCAGACATATAATTATTTTCGTTGTTTCTTCATAACTTCTGTGGATATGTCTTTTCCATTGGTCTTAGGCGACCCGTGTAACCGGCTCGTTCGATCCACAAAAGGGTTGCCACCCATAGGTTAAGAACCGCTGATGTACAAACGAACGAACGAACTTTATTTTCAAAGGGTCACAAATTGGGCACGCAAGTAGTAAAAGAGGAGGATAATCCAGCGAATTTTCTAGGTTTTTTGCTGTTCAGGTTATACTAATAACCCTCCACATGAAAAATAGAGGAAACCACACTCTGGAGGATCCCTCAATATGAAAAATAGAGGAGAAAACCACCCTCTGGAGGATCCCTCCACGTGGAAAATAGATGGAAAATCTTCCGAGAGGGTGGAGTTCCCCCCACATAAAAACAAAAAGGAAAAATACTATAACCATTTCAAGGGTTCATAGCAGGTAAAATTGCGCTTCGCAGTCCGGGTGTGCTGGGTTCCAACCCCTTGACGAATATAACCTTTAACAGATTATATGTATTGTTGGTTATTGATTTATGCTGATGTATTTTAGTGGTGGGTATTTCTTTAGGTTGCAGTGGCTGTGAGCGCACTTCATAATCCCCTGGTTGGATCCCTTAGACCCCATACTCATGACACTGATGTCCCCGACCCAAAAATTGCGACCCACGCAGGGTCTGCATGTTGCTAGAAAGCGGAACTCTCTCTCTCTCTCTCTCTCTCTCTCTCTCTCTCTCTCTCTCTCTCTCTTTCTTTCTCTCTCTCTCTCTCTCTCTCTCTCTCTCTCTCTCTCTAGTTGTACCCCACCAGAACATCAAACGAGCGATCAACACCTGGGGACACAAAGTGCCACCACACGGATGAAGATCACCCTTAGAAAGGTCCCATAAACCACTTTGAGCCGTGCGGCCATACCTATGGCTAGGCGATATTTATTGTCCGGCTATAATCAGAGCCTCGGGCAAAAGCCAGGGTGGGGCTTTGAATAACGAAAAATTGCATCCCATATGAGGACGACTTTAGAAAACAGTCGAACGTGGGTATTGATGCCTCACTCAGATACCTGGTGTCTAGTATCTGGTGCACAAAATGTGAATATGCGTTGTTGACTGACTGACTGACTTTCTACCCCACTAGGACATCCCACAAGCGATAAACACCCGATGACACAAAGTGCCACCATGTGGATGAGGATCGCCGTGGAGAGGTCCCAGAAACCGCGTTCATACAATTGGCCATATTTATGGCCTGCCTATATTGCGGCCCCTGGCAAAAGCCAGGGTGGGGCTTCGAATAACAAAAAATGTCATCCTAAAAAGGACGAAATATCTCTAATAGGCGTTGTTTATACGAGTCACTTGATGAAATTAAAAGTTTAAGAAATTAATGAGTAGACTAAAAGTAGTAACGTACATGTATGTTTTATTTTTTCAGTGATAGAATACAATGACAAGAAACATCCACAAAACATAGTTTAATAACAAAAATCAGGTTACGAACCTTTACATAAATAAATATTAGGTTACCTCTCCTTTTATAAAAAAAATTATGGGAAATAATTTGAAGATGATAAGTATTGAGTCACATCCCTTTATAAAAAAAATTAAGTGAATAATTTGAAGATGATAAATATTAGGTCACGTCCCTTTATAAAAAATTAAGTGAATAATTTAAAAATAATTATTATTAAAATTATGCCCATGAAAAGCTAAGTAGGCGTAGACAGCTTCTCTTTATAAGTGGCCAGGAACTCCTTGCCGTTTGATCTAGATAGGTAATAGGTCGGTTGTTGTCGGCAGTCTCAAAATATTGGATAAACATATCATTTGGAGGTCTTTTATAGATCATCTAGGTCATCTAGACATATGGTGGTATGACTTTGTATGGGGAAATTTAAGAAGAAGAAAAACATGGTGGGTGTCACGTCATAGAGTTGGAGGTCGGCCATTCACTGAAGTTTTAAGTTGTATCAACTATTTACATGAGGTGTTTTAGGGATCAATGAGAGCCACAAGGGCCGCCTTGACACAAGTTGGTACAACTTAAGTAGACAGAAAAAAAAAGAAGGAAAAATGGTAGGTGTCATCTCACAATGGTAGGTATGCATGCTCGGTCGGCAGGCATGTTATCTATCGACTAGTCAAAGGTGGGGTACTAGGACCCTGTGACACATGGTTTGTCAAGTTTAATTTAACAAATTAGAACTATTGACTAAAATTGGTCGGTGGTATGTCACATGCTTCTGGTAGAGCTTTCCTAACCCAATAATTTTCGTATCCAACAGACATCTTTTCAACATTTAGCAATTTGTCATCTTTGACATGGAATGACACTTATTTCTCAAAGCGAGCACTGGCAAACTTGTGTCAGCTTTGTCTCTAACTTATAGAAATTTTCCGTTTGTCTTTTTAAAAAAAGGGGGGGGGGGGGGTTTGGAGGGTAAACTCTGTTAACTGTCATATTATTAGGTGTCGGTCGCTAAGTAAAGGTTTAAGCTGTTAAAAAAAAATGATAACTAGGGCAAAGTGGCGAGTGTCCTATCACATTTTGACATGCCGGTCGCTCAGGGAGGGTTTAAATTGTAGGGAAAATGTAGAACTTATGTTAAAAGAGTGGGCATCGTGTCAGGGCATATGGTGTTATAACCACAACAGTAGGGAAACCTTAAAGTGGGTTATGTGTTTTTCTAAGGCGAACAATGTCTTGGTACAGAATAAATCGCCTACTGTCTTTCACGTTTAGGACACCTTAAGTCACACAAGACAATTCGAAAGTTGCTCAACAACACTGGAAGAACGCCGATCTAATTTCCGTATACATTCTGCTAGTTTATTTCTCCTTTTCCATCACAGTTAGCCACAATCATCGATGTTCAGTTCTACAACTATACCACAATAATCATTTACTCAGCTTTGACTACACTTAATTCAAACTACATTGACATCAGGACTGTCTTCATCTAACTCTGGTACACAGCTGACCACGAGTCCACCTCTGACTTCCCCTCGTTTACCTTGTCAGCCCCAAGTATCTCGTGCGGTCGTTTGTGGCACAGATTTTCTGCTTGACTTGCTGTGAGCATGGAGACCATGCAAAGCAGGGTCATCACAACGTAATTGTCGACAGTGTGATTGTTTACAATGGCAATGTTCACAATGTATATTTCTACACTGCCTCATGCTCACAGTGTCAATGTTTATAACGCGAGTGTTGAAAGTGTCATTGTTTGAAGTGGTCATGTTTACAGTGTCAATGTTTACAATGTGACTGCTTACATTGTAAATATGAACAGAATAAATGTCTACAATGTGATGTGTTTACCATGTGAATGTTGTAACGATTGACCTCTTAAGCGTCAACAACCTGGGCATCCTCGAGAGCGACAAGCTACTGATTAGAGCCACAAGCCAGGGCAATATGACCTGGGAGCCGCCGGGAATCTTCGAGACTCACTGTGACGTGGATGTGACCTTCTATCCCTTCGATGCCCAGGTCTGCGTGGTGGAGGTCACCAGCTGGGCTCAGACCATGCAGCAGATCGACCTGTACGCCAGCAGTAGCAAGGTAGATTTTAGATCTGTACCCACCTGCAGAGACCTCTCATTCTAGATCTGTACCCACCTGCAGAGACCTCTCATTCTAGATCTGTACCCACCTGCAGAGACCTTTCATTCTAGATCTATACCCACCTGCAATGACGTTTCATTCTAGATCTGTACCCACCTGCAATGACGTTTCATTCTAGATCTGTACCCACCTGCAATGACGTTTCATTCTAGATCTGTACCCACCTGCAATGACGTTTCATTCTAGATCTATACCCACCTGCAATGACGTTTCATTCTAGATCTGTACCCACCTGCAGAGACCTCTCATTCTAGATCTGTACCCACCTGCAGAGACCTCTCATTCTAGATCTGTACCCACCTGCAGAGACCTCTCATTCTAGATCTGTACCTACCTGCAGAGACCTTTCATTCTAGATCTGTACCTACCTGCAATGACCTCTCATTCTAGATCTATACCCACCTGCAATGACCTCTCATTCTAGATCTATAGCCACCTGCAGAGACCTCTCATTCTAGATCTGTACCCACCTGCAGAGACCTCTCATTCTAGATCTGTACCTACCTGCAGAGACCTTTCATTCTAGATCTATACCCACCAGCAATGACCTTTCATTCTAGATCTGTACCCACCTGCAATGACGTTTCATTCTAGATCTGTACCCACCTGCAGAGACCTCTCATTCTAGATCTGTACCCACCTGCAATGACCTTTCATTCTAGATCTGTACCCACCTGCAATGACCTCTCATTCTAGATCTATAGCCACCTGCAATGACCTTTCATTCTAGATCTGTACCCACCTGCAATGACCTTTCATTCTAGATCTGTACCCACCTGCAATGACCTTTCATTCTAGATCTGTACCCACCTGCAGAGACCTTTCATTCTAGATCTGTACCCACCTGCAGAGACCTTTCATTCTAGATCTGTGTGGAGACCTTATACGGGTGTTTGTGTATTTATTTATAAATGTATACAAGTATGCATGTGTGTGATTGTGGGTGTTTGTGTATATAATGTATGCAAGTATGTATATATGCAGGTATGCATGTGTGTATGTAATATCTGTATGGGGGATTGTATATGTGTGTATGCATGCATGTGTGTACGTAATATCTGTATGGGGGATTGTATATGTGTGTATGCATGCATGTGTGTACGTAATATCTGTATGGGGGATTGTATATGTGTGTATGCATGCATGTGTGTATGTAATATCTGTATGGGGGAATTGTATATGTGTGTATGCATGCATGTGTGTGTATGTATGTAATGTGTGTGGGCATGTATGTATGCATGCAGGTATGTATCTATGTGTGTATGTATGCATGTTGATGGATGTATGTATGCATTTTTAGCTGTGTAAGTATTTGTGTGCATGTGTGTGTATTTAGGTATATATGTATGTGTGTAAAAATGTGAGTGTATGTATAAATGTGTGTATGTATGCATGTATGTATGTGTATGTGTGCATGCATGTATGTGATTGTATGTATTCATGTGAGTGTAAATGTGTAGTTGTGGGCATATGTTGGTGTCTGTACATGTGATTGTATATGTGTGTATGCATGGATGCATGTATAGGTGTGTATGTATGGAATGTGTGTGTGCATGTATATACATAAATGTAGGTGTGTGTGTTTCTGTTTGTGCATTTATGTCTATGTATGTGTATGTGTTTTATGTTTGTGTTTGTATGTAGATGCATGTGTGTATGTATTACGTATGTTTGTATGAGAACGTAGGAGTATGTATACGTGTGTGTGAGTGTGTACAATTGTGTACACATGATGTGTGTCTGAGTGTGTACAATTGTGTACACATGATGTGTGTGTGAGTGTGTACAATTGTGTACACATGATGTGTGTGTGAGTGTGTACAATTGTGTACACATTATGTGTGTGTGAGTGTACAATTGTGTACACATGATGTGTGTGTTAGTGTGTACAATAGTGTACACATGATGTGTGTGTGAGTGTGTACAATTGTGTACACATTATGTGTGTGTGAGTGTGTACAATTGTGTACACATGATGTGTGTGAGTGTGTACAATTGTGTACACATTATGTGTGTGTGAGTGTGTACAATTGTGTACACATGATGTGTGTATGCATTATTCTCTAATTTATATTTCTTCATTAGATCCATAACATGCATTATTGATAACAGGCATTGGTAATCTAAAAAATGAATGCTTAGAAGGGCCGAATGTCAAATGGGCCTGCGTGCCTTATTTGTAACCCTTTGAAAAAAAAAAGTTTGTTTGTTCGTTCGTTCATTCATTCGTTCTATACCCACCTGCAGAGACCTCTCATTTAATATCTATACCCACCTGCAGAGACCTCTCATTCAATATCTATACCCACCTGCAGAGACCTCTCATTCAATATCTATACCCACCTGCAGAGATCTGTGAATCTAGATCGATGCCAACCTGCAGAGATTATTTATTGTAGATCTATACCTACATGCAAGAACCTCTCTTTCTAGATCTATATTCTATATTCTATATCACAAACATGCAGAGACCTCTAATTCTAGATCTATAGCCACCTGCAAGTTCTAGATCTGCGTCCACCTGCAGAGATGTGTCATTCCTATCAGGTTTTGCAGTGTCCCTGGTGCTATTAAATAGTGTGTAGTTTGACCTGACTGTGTGTTGTGTAGACTAACCTGGCTGTGTGTTGTGTAGATTGACCAGGCTCTGTGTTGTGTAGATTGACCAGGCTGTGTTGTGTAGATTGATCAGGCTCTGTCTTGTCTAGATTGACCAAGCTCTGTGTTGTGTAGATTGACCAAGCTCTGTGTTGTGTAGATTGACCAGGCTCTGTGTTGTGTAGATTGACCAGGCTGTGTTGTGTAGATTGATCAGGCTCTGTCTTGTCTAGATTGACCAAGCTCTGTGTTGTGTAGATTGACCAGGCTCTGTGTTGTGTAGATTGACCAGGCTCTGTGTTGTGTAGATTGACCAGGCTCTGTGTTGTGTAGATTGACCAAGCTCTGTGTTGTGTAGATTGACCAAGCTCTGTGTTGTGGATATTGACCAAGCTCTGTGTTGTGTAGATTGACCAAGCTCTGTGTTGTGTAGATTGACCAAGCTCTGTGTTGTGTAGATTGACCAAGCTCTGTGTTGTGTAGATTGACCAGGCTCTGTGTTGTGTAGATTGACCAGGCTGTGTTGTGTAGATTGATCAGGCTCTGTCTTGTCTAGATTGACCAGGCTCTGTGTTGTGTAGATTGACCAGGCTCTGTGTTGTGTAGATTGACCAGGCTCTGTGTTGTGTAGATTGACCAAGCTCTGTGTTGTGTAGATTGACCAAGCTCTGTGTTGTGGATATTGACCAAGCTCTGTGTTGTGTAGATTGACCAAGCTCTGTGTTGTGTAGATTGACCAAGCTCTGTGTTGTGGATATTGACCAAGCTCTGTGTTGTGTAGATTGACCAAGCTCTGTGTTGTGTAGATTGACCAAGCTCTGTGTTGTGGATATTGACCAAGCTCTGTGTTGTGGATATTGACCAAGCTCTGTGTTGTGTAGATTGACCAAGCTCTGTGTTGTGTAGATTGACCAGGCTCTGTGTTGTGTAGATTGACCAAGCTCTGTGTTGTGTAGATTGACCAAGATCTGTGTTGTGTAGATTGACTAAGCTCTGTGTTGTGTAGATTGACCAGGCTCTGTGTTGTGTAGATTGACCAGGCTCTGTGTTGTGTAGATTGACCAAGCTCTGTGTTGTGTAGATTGACCAAGCTCTGTGTTGTGTAGATTGACCAGGCTCTGTGTTGTGCAGGATGACCTGGCTCTGTGTTGTGTAGATTGACTAGGCTTTGTGTTGTGTAAATTAACCTCGCTCTGTGTTGAGTAGATTGGCCTAGCTCTGTGTTGCGTAGATTGACCAGGCTATATGTTGTGTGGATTAACCAGACTCTGTAATGTGTAGATTGACCTGGCTTTGTGTTTTGTAGATTGACCAGGCTTTGAGTTGTGTAGATTGACCAGGCTGTGTGTTGTGTAGATTTACCAGGCTGTGTGTTGTGTAGATTGATCAGGCTGTGTGTTGTGTAGATTGACCTTGCTGTGTGTTGTGTAGATTGACCAGGTTCTGTGCTGTGTAGATTGACTAGGCTCTGTGTTGTGTAGACTGACCAGGCTATGTGTTGTGTAGATTGATCTGACCATGTGTTGTGTATACTGACCAGGCTATGTGTAGATTGATCTGACCCTATGTTGTGTAGATTGACCAGGCTCTGTGTTGTGTAAATTGACCAGGCTATGTGTTGTGTAGATTGACCAGGCTCTGTGTTGTGTAGACTGACCAGGCTCTGTGTTGTGTAGATTGATTAGGCTATTTTACTGACCAGGCTATGTGTAGATTGATCTGACCCTATGTTGTCTAGACTAACCTGGCTGTGTGTTGTGTAGACTAACCTGGCTGTGTGTTGTGTAGACTAACCTGGCTGTGTGTTGTGTAGACTAACCTGGCTGTGTGTTGTGTAGACTGACCTGGCTGTGTGTTGTGTAGCCTGAACTAGCTGTGTGTTGTGTAGTTTGACCTGGTTGTGTGGTGTGTAGTTTGACCTGGATGTGTGTTGTGTAGACTGACCTGGCTGTGTGTTGTGTAGTTTGATCTGGCTGTGTGTTGTGTAGACTGACGTAGCTGTGTGTTGGGTAGATTGACCTGGCTTTGTGTTGTGTATACTGACCTGACTTTGTGTTATGTCGACTAACCTGGATCTGTGTGTAATAATTGACCTAGCTCTGTGTTATGTAGACTGGCCTAGCTACGTATAGTGGGGATTGATCTGACCCTGTGTTGCGTAGATTGACCAGGCTCTGTGTTGTGTAGATTGACCAGGCTGTGTTGTGTAGATTGATCAGGCTCTGTCTTGTCTAGATTGACCAGGCTCTGTGTTGTGTAGATTGACCAGGATCTGTGTTGTGTAGATTGACCAGGCTCTGTGTTGTGTAGATTGACCAAGCTCTGTGTTGTGTAGATTGACCAAGCTCTGTGTTGTGGATATTGACCAAGCTCTGTGTTGTGTAGATTGACCAAGCTCTGTGTTGTGTAGATTGACCAAGCTCTGTGTTGTGTAGATTGACCAAGCTCTGTGTTGTGTAGATTGACCAAGCTCTGTGTTGTGTAGATTGACCAAGCTCTGTGTTGTGTAGATTGACCAAGCTCTGTGTTGTGTAGATTGACCAAGCTCTGTGTTGTGTAGATTGACCAAGCTCTGTGATGTGTAGATTGACCAGGCTCTGTGTTGTGTAGATTGACCAGGCTCTGTGTTGTGCAGGCTGACCTGGCTCTGTGTTGTGTAGATTGACTAGGCTTTGTGTTGTGTAGATTGACCTCGCTCTGTGTTGAGTAGATTGGCCTAGCTCTGTGTTGCGTAGATTGACCAGGCTATATGTTGTGTGGATTGACCAGACTGTATTGTGTAGATTGACCAGGCTTTGATTTGTGTAGATTGACCAGGCTTTGAGTTGTGTAGATTGACCAGGCTGTGTGTTGTGTAGATTTACCAGGCTGTGTGTTGTGTAGATTGATCAGGCTGTGTGTTGTGTAGATTGACCTTGCTGTGTGTTGTGTAGATTGACCAGGCTCTGTGCTGTGTAGATTGACTAGGCTCTGTGTTGTGTAGACTGACCAGGCTATGTGTTGTGTAGACTAGTCTGACCCTGTGTTGTGTAGATTCACCAGGCTCTGTGTTGTGTAGATTGATCTGACCATGTGTTGTGTATACTGACCAGGCTATGTGTAGATTGATCTGACCCTATGTTGTGTAGATTGACCAGGCTCTGTGTTGTGTAAATTGACAAGGCTATTTGTTGTGTAGATTGACAAGGCTCTGTGTTGTGTAGATTGACCAGGCTCTGTGTTGTGTAGATTGACCAGGCTCTGTGTTGTGTAGATTGACCAGGCTCTGTGTTGTGTAGATTGACCAGGCTCTGTGTTGTGTAGATTGACCAAGCTCTGTGTTGTGTAGATTGACCAAGCTCTGTGTTGTGTAGATTGACCAGGCTCTGTGTTGTGTAGATTGACCAGGCTCTGTGTTGTGTAGATTGACCAGGCTCTGTGTTGCGTAGATTGACCAAGCTCTGTGTTGTGTAGATTGACCAAGCTCTGTGTTGTGGATATTGACCAAGCTCTGTGTTGTGTAGATTGACCAAGCTCTGTGTTGTGTAGATTGACCAAGCTCTGTGTTGTGTAGATTGACCAAGCTCTGTGTTGTGTAGATTGACCAGGCTCTGTGTTGTGTAGATTGACCAGGCTGTGTTGTATAGATTGATCAGGCTCTGTCTTGTCTAGATTGACTAGGCTCTGTGTTGTGTAGATTGACCAGGCTCTGTGTTGTGTAGATTGACCAGGCTCTGTGTTGTGTAGATTGACCAAGCTCTGTGTTGTGTAGATTGACCAAGCTCTGTGTTGTGGATATTGACCAAGCTCTGTGTTGTGTAGATTGACCAAGCTCTGTGTTGTGTAGATTGACCAAGCTCTGTGTTGTGGATATTGACCAAGCTCTGTGTTGTGTAGATTGACCAAGCTCTGTGTTGTGTAGATTGACCAAGCTCTGTGTTGTGGATATTGACCAAGCTCTGTGTTGTGTAGATTGACCAAGCTCTGTGTTGTGTAGATTGACCAAGCTCTGTGTTGTGTAGATTGACCAGGCTCTGTGTTGTGTAGATTGACCAAGCTCTGTGTTGTGTAGATTGACCAAGATCTCTGTTGTGTAGATTGACCAAGCACTGTGTTGTGTAGATTGACCAGGCTCTGTGTTGTGTAGATTGACCAGGCTCTGTGTTGTGTAGATTGACCAAGCTCTGTGTTGTGTAGATTGACCAAGCTCTGTGTTGTGTAGATTGACCAGGCTCTGTGTTGTGCAGGATGACCTGGCTCTGTGTTGTGTAGATTGACTAGGCTTTGTGTTGTGTAGATTAACCTCGCTCTGTGTTGAGTAGATTGGCCTAGCTCTGTGTTGCGTAGATTGACCAGGCTATATGTTGTGTGGATTAACCAGACTCTGTAATGTGTAGATTGACCTGGCTTTGTGTTTTGTAGATTGACCAGGCTTTGAGTTGTGTAGATTGACCAGGCTGTGTGTTGTGTAGATTTACCAGGCTGTGTGTTGTGTAGATTGATCAGGCTGTGTGTTGTGTAGATTGACCTTGCTGTGTGTTGTGTAGATTGACCAGGTTCTGTGCTGTGTAGATTGACTAGGCTCTGTGTTGTGTAGACTGACCAGGCTATGTGTTGTGTAGATTGATCTGACCATGTGTTGTGTATACTGACCAGGCTATGTCTAGATTGATCTGACCCTATGTTGTGTAGATTGACCAGGCTCTGTGTTGTGTAAATTGACCAGGCTATGTGTTGTGTAGATTGACCAGGCTCTGTGTTGTGTAGACTGACCAGGCTCTGTGTTGTGTAGATTGACCAGGCTATGTGTTGTGTAGATTGACCAGGCTCTGTGTTGTGTAGACTGACCAGGCTCTGTGTTGTGTAGATTGATTAGGCTATTTTACTGACCAGGCTATGTGTAGATTGATCTGACCCTATGTTGTGTAGACTAACCTGGCTGTGTGTTGTGTAGACTAACCTGGCTGTGTGTTGTGTAGCCTGAACTGGCTGTGTGTTGTGTAGTTTGACCTGGTTGTGTGGTGTGTAGTTTGACCTGGATGTGTGTTGTGTAGACTGACCTGGCTGTGTGTTGTGTAGTTTGATCTGGCTGTGTGTTGTGTAGACTGACGTAGCTGTGTGTTGGGTAGATTGACCTGGCTTTGTGTTGTGTATACTGACCTGACTTTGTGTTATGTCGACTAACCTGGATCTGTGTGTAATAATTGACCTAGCTCTGTGTTATGTAGACTGGCCTAGCTACGTATAGTGGGGATTGATCTGACCCTGTGTTGCGTAGATTGACCAGGCTCTGTGTTGTGTAGATTGACCAGGCTGTGTTGTGTAGATTGATCAGGCTCTGTCTTGTCTAGATTGACCAGGCTCTGTGTTGTGTAGATTGACCAGGATCTGTGTTGTGTAGATTGACCAGGCTCTGTGTTGTGTAGATTGACCAAGCTCTGTGTTGTGTAGATTGACCAAGCTCTGTGTTGTGGATATTGACCAAGCTCTGTGTTGTGTAGATTGACCAAGCTCTGTGTTGTGTAGATTGACCAAGCTCTGTGTTGTGTAGATTGACCAAGCTCTGTGTTGTGTAGATTGACCAAGCTCTGTGTTGTGTAGATTGACCAAGCTCTGTGTTGTGTAGATTGACCAAGCTCTGTGTTGTGTAGATTGACCAAGCTCTGTGTTGTGTAGATTGACCAAGCTCTGTGTTGTGTAGATTGACCAGGCTCTGTGTTGTGTAGATTGACCAGGCTCTGTGTTGTGCAGGCTGACCTGGCTCTGTGTTGTGTAGATTGACTAGGCTTTGTGTTGTGTAGATTGACCTCGCTCTGTGTTGAGTAGATTGGCCTAGCTCTGTGTTGCGTAGATTGACCAGGCTATATGTTGTGTGGATTGACCAGACTGTATTGTGTAGATTGACCAGGCTTTGAGTTGTGTAGATTGACCAGGCTTTGAGTTGTGTAGATTGACCAGGCTGTGTGTTGTGTAGATTTACCAGGCTGTGTGTTGTGTAGATTGATCAGGCTGTGTGTTGTGTAGATTGACCTTGCTGTGTGTTGTGTAGATTGACCAGGCTCTGTGCTGTGTAGATTGACTAGGCTCTGTGTTGTGTAGACTGACCAGGCTATGTGTTGTGTAGACTAGTCTGACCCTGTGTTGTGTAGATTCACCAGGCTCTGTGTTGTGTAGATTGATCTGACCATGTGTTGTGTATACTGACCAGGCTATGTGTAGATTGATCTGACCCTATGTTGTGTAGATTGACCAGGCTCTGTGTTGTGTAAATTGACCAGGCTATTTGTTGTGTAGATTGACAAGGCTCTGTGTTGTGTAGATTGACAAGGCTCTGTGTTGTGTAGATTGACCAAGTCCTGTGTTGTGTAGATTGACCTTGCTCTATGTTGTGTAGATTGACCTGGCTGTGTGTTGTGTAGACTGACCCTGCCATGTGTTGTGTAGATTGACCTGGCTGTGTGTTGTGTAGATTGACCAGGCTGTGTGTTGTGTAGATTGACTATGTCCTGTGTTGTGTAGATTGGCCCTGTCCTGTGTTGTGTAGATTGACCTGGTTGTGTGTTGTGTAGATTGACTAGGCTGTGTGTTATGTAGATTGACCAGGCTGTGTGTTGTGTAGATTGACCAGGCTGTGTGTTGTGTAGATTGACTATGTCCTGTTTTGTGTAGATTGACCTTGCTGTGTGTTGTGTAGATTGACTAGGCTCTGTGTTGTGTAGATTGACCAGGCTCTGTGTTGTGTAGATTGACCAGGCTTTGTGTTGTGTAGATTGACCTGGCCGACTATGAAGAGAGCGGGGAGTGGGATGTTCTCGGCTCCTGGACAGATAGAAGACTGCTGACCGATGGAGCCGACACACACTCAGAAGTCAGTCCTTTTTCTTTGCTTTCATTTCGTTTCCTTATGCATGTGTTTTCTTCATACATATTTTCTTGTACACATGTTTTCTTGTACACGTGTTATCTTGTACACGTGCTTTCTTGTACATGTTTTTGGAACACATGTTTTTGAACATATGTTTTATCTTGTACACTTGTTGTCTTGTACACATGTTGTCTTGTACACATGTTTACTTCTATGCATGTTTGCTTGTACATATGTTTTCTTGTAAGCATGTTGTCTTGCACACATGTTTTCTTCCATGTATGATTTCTTGTACAGATGTTTTATTGTACTCATATTTCAGCGCTGATTGATGCTAGGGACCAAAACTCCACATGAGTTCATTGCAGCTTGTGTATTTTCTTACAGAACACAGCCTATTAGCTTTCAGATGTCTCAGATTTATCAGATGTCTTAGATTTATCGGGTGTCTCAGATGTCTCAAATTTATCTGATTTATCATATGTATCAGATTTATCTGATGTCTCAGATTTATGAGATGTCGTAAATTTATCAGATTTCTCAGACTGTTCAGATATCTTAGATTAATCAGATGCCTCATATTGATGAGATTTCTCAGGTTTATAACTGTCATCTGTATCACTGTCATCTTTATATTAAAATGTGATCTTTGTTACTTTAATCTTGATAACTAGTATCTGCACAACTATAATGACTGTTTTCTTTCAAACTAACTCTTTCAGGACGACATTTTTTCTGGGCTTTGGACAGCATTAATTTTGAGCGGAATTTTTTTTCTGCAACACGACAAAGCTAAAACCTTTCTGAAGAAAAAGTATTGGATGTATCGGGACATATAATATATCAAATTAAAGATAAATAAATGCAAAATAAATCTAAACTGTTAACATGTCAGTATAACAATAAAATATTAACATCACACAACATGTTAGACACATATGAAGGATGTTAGACACATATGATGGATGTTAGACACATATGAAGGATGTTAGAAACATATGAAGGATGTTAGACACATATGAAGGATATTAGTCACATATAAAGGATGTTAGACACATATAAAGGATGTTAGACACATATAAAGGATGTTAGACACATATAAAGGATGTTAGACACATATAAAGGATGTTAGAAACATATGAAGGATGTCAGACACATATGAAGGATGTTAGACACATATGAAGGATGTTAGACACATATGTAGGTTGTTAGACACATATGAAGGATGTTAGACACTTATGAAGGATTTTAGACACATATAAAGGATGTTAGACACATATGTAGGTTGTTAGACACATATGTAGGTTGGTAGAAACATATGAAGGATGTCAGACACATATAAAGGATGTTAGACACATATGAAGGATGTTAGACACATTCGAACGATGTTAGACACATATGAAGGATGTTAGACACATATAAAGGATGTTAGACACATATGAAGGATGTCAGACACATATGAAAATTATTGACAAACAAATGTTGTGCTTACCTTATTTTTTACCTGTTCAACAACATTGATATCCAATTCTAAGAATGCACATGCCTTCTCTGTTTAGTTATTAGCTAGTCTTCATTTGAAACAATTAATTTAAATACTTTGGATGTTATGATCATTTTTGTATGACATGTCAATTTTCAAAACAACAGAAGATCGGAAAAACAGCTGATCGAAGCATTGATTTCATTGAAAATTTTTTTGAGATTTTCATATACTAAAACAATTATCGCTAGTAGATTTGCCACTTAGACATCAATCATAATATCTAGACTGGCAGAGATTCATCAACGATAGAGCAGTATGAAGAGTTCTAAACCTTTCCCCTTATCATTCAGATTAAAAAAATTACGTAAAAAGTGTATCCTATCTAACTTTTTTTTATCAGAAAATAATGCACCGACTACGATGAACATCGCAAACGAAAGTACTTCCTGTTGTTAATCCTAATTGTTCAAAAACGTGTTCATAAAAGTCCGTTTTCCATACAAACGGAACAAAATTAGAAAGTCTCTATCATGATCCAGTATACTGGCGATACGTATTTAAGGGATAGACTTACTTAATTGCCAGTATACTGGCTAAACGTCCGTAAAGAGTCTAATTTTTTTGAATCAATATAATTAATTTTGTAATTATTATAACTAGACGAGTGGCGTGTAGATACTGACAACCTTGAGCCCACTCTCAACGATGTGGATGTGATGCATCCAATACTCTACTCCAGTGACATGTGTGTACTGAAAACCACAAATTTGCACCTACAATGACGTGTATCTGCTGACAACCACAACTCCACTCATAGTGAGAAGTACTTGCTGACAGCCACAACTTTTCTGTCACAGTAACGTATATGCGCCACAATTCCACTCACAATGATGAATGTGCGTGGAAAACTACAACCCTCTCAAATTGAGCTTCCATCGGTCATCCCAGTACACGCACGGACAGTCATGTTTACCTCTTGCTTACATGTAGGTCACTTCTCCCTCAGTCACGTTCTAAAAAAACCCGTCTCTATGGGAGACGCCGTCACCTGACTGTAAAAACAGGACTCTGTACAAACAGGACTCTGCACAAACATGACTCTGACGACCACAATTCCACTCCAAATACCGTGTATACGCTGACAACCACAAATCCCCCAAAAATGACGGATATGCGCTGACAACCACAACCTTTACGCACAATAACCTGTATACGCTGACAACCACAACCCTCCAACAATGACATGTGTACACTGACAACAACAACCTTCCAGTCACAATTACATGTATATACTGACAACCCCTACCCTCGACTCACAATGACGTGTATGTGCTGACAACCACAACTATCCAACAATGACATGTGTACACTGACAACAACAACCCGCCAGTCACAATTACATGTATGTACTGACAACTCCTACCCTCTACTCACAATGACGTGTATGCGCTGATAAACACGACCTCCACGCATAATAACCTGTATGCGCTGACAACCACAACCCTGCTCTCACAGGTGACATTCTCCATCAAGCTGCTGAGGAAGCCCATGTATTACGTCACCACCATCCTCATCCCCGTGATGGTGACCTCCATCTTGTGTATCGTTGTCTTCCTACTTCCGGCTGAGTCCGGGGAGAAGGTGGGCTACTCGCTGACCATCCTGCTGACCTACACGGTGATGTTGACACTTGTGGCCAGCTACATGCCGCCAACCAGCAAACACACTTCTGTTCTCAGTGAGTACCTGCTTGTTGCCACTTCTCCCACAACCTTCTCCCACTACTTCCCCCACCGCTATTGTCTCCCACCACTATTGTCTCTTACCATTGTCTCCCAGCTTTCCCTACTACCTTATCCCACTACTTGCTTTCACTACTTACTGCCACTACTTGCTTCCACTACCTTATCCCACTACTTGCTTTCACTACTTACTGCCACTACTTGCATCCACCACCTTGTCCCACTGCTTTCTTTCACCACCTGATCCCACTACTTGCTTCCACCACCTTATCCCACTACTTGCTTCCACCACCTTATCCCACTGCTTGCTTCCACCACCTTATCCCACTGCTTGCTTCCACCACCTTATCCCACTACTTGCATCCACCACCTTATCCCACTGCTTGCTTCCACCACCTTATCCCACTACTTGCTTCCACCACCTTATCCCACTACTTGCATCCACCACCTTATCCCACTACTTGCTTCCACCACCTTATCCCACTACTTGCTTCCACCACCTTATCCCACTGCTTTCTTCCACCACCTTATCCCACTACTTGCTTTCATCACCTTATCCCACTACTTGCTTCCACCACCTTATCCCACTACTTGCTTCCACCACCTTATCCCACTGCTTGCATCCACCACCTTATCCCACTACTTGCTTCCACCACCTTATCCCACTACTTGCATCCACCACCTTATCCCACTACTTACTCCCACTGCTTGCTTTCACCACCTTATCCCACTACTTACTGCCACTACTTGCATCCACCACCTTATCCCACTACTTGCATCCACCACCTTATCCCACTACTTGCATCCACCACCTTATCCCACTACTTGCATCAACCACCTTATCCCACTACTTGCTTTCACTACTTACTGCCACTACTTGCTTCCACCACCTTATCCCACTACTTGCTTCCACCACCTTATCCCACTGCTTTCTTCCACCACCTTATCCCACTACTTGCTTCCACCACCTTATCCCACTGCTTGCTTCCACCACCTTATCCCACTACTTGCTTCCACCACCTTATCCCACTACTTGCTTCCACCACCTTATCCCACTGCTTGCATCTACCACCTTATCCCACTGCTTGCTTCCACCACCTTATCCCACTACTTGCTTCCACCACCTTATCCCACTGCTTGCATCCACCACCTTATCCCACTGCTTTCTTCCACCACCTTATCCCACTACTTGCTTTCACTACTTACTGCCACTACTTGCTTCCACCACCTTATCCCACTGCTTTCTTCCACCACCTTATCCCACTGCATTCTTCCACCACCTTATCCCACTACTTACTCCCACTGCTTGCTTTCACCACCTTATCCCATATGACTCTTTAAAGAAGCAGTGAGTCTGAACTTGGCATCTCTATGGACCGTGTCCTATGAGGACTGCACCAGCTCACTCTGTTCTCCACAAGTGGAGCACTCCTGCGTCATAACAGTGTCACGTGTCGGTGTCCACCATATATATGTGTCCGGTGACTCGGGTGGACTTTCAACCCGGTACCCTGTGTCGGTGTCCACCATATATATGTGTCCGGTGACTCGGGTGGACTTTCAGCCCGGTACCCTGTGTCGGTGTCCACCATATATGTGTCAGGTGGGTCGAGTGGACTTTCAGCCCGGTACCCTGTGTCGGGTACAAAGATGGTGTTTTGTTCCCTTGCCTGGACCCGCCCACGTGTATCACATACCTGTTAGACCGGATGCTGTGAATCCTACATGATTCAGTCGCTGTGTTCAAACTGGCGACCTCATCATTTAGCTATGCACTATTAGGCTTTTTTATTTGTTATGTTATTTCAGTCCAGACACAAATGATCAGAAATATTCTGTCTGTACCCCACAGGTGTCTACTTGACCATCATTTTGTTTATTGGTGTGTTCACCACTCTGATCACGGTCGTGGTGCTACACCTCCACCATCGCTCACGGAAGAAACTAGTCCCCACGTGGCTTCACTTCCTTGTAAGGACATGCATGCTGCCTCTCACAAGCTGGCGCCCCCGCCATCTCAGCGACAATGACCCTGTGCCTAAAGGTCATGTCCACGGTCAGCCACAACTCGAGCAGCAGCAGCAGCAGCAGACGATGGCTCCTGGGTCTAGAAGCCGGGTATTCAACACATATGATGGCTGCAGTACACACGATAGGACCAGAGACTCTGCTAGCGCTGTGGCCAACCGCAAGCATGCCACCGAGTTGTCACAGAATCATGGCCTAGTACCTGATGGGAACGTGCCACAGACGTCCAGTAGCAGAGCCCCGCTAGATAACCGTTATCAGTTTACCTGGCAGGAAGTCGGAGTCATTTTAGACGCCTTGTGTCTGAGGATTCTGGGAGTTTTCGTACTGGCTTTGACCCTGATTGTTCTTCTGACCATGGTCATCGGAGGGTCAGTTTGCTTATTGTTTGTGTTTGTGTTTTTTCCTATTTTTTTTTTTTATTGTTTGTGTTTTTTCGTATATGTTTGTGTTTTTACGTATTTGTTCAGTATTCTTTGTTTTGTCTTTTTCACATGTATTTGTATTGTTTGTATTTGGTTTTTTGTATATGTTTGTATTCTTTGTGTGTTTGGGTTTTTCGTAAATGTTTGTATTTTTGTGTTTTTCGTGTTTGTTTGTATTGTTTGTGTTTTTTATATGTTTGTGTTGATTGTATGTTTAGGTTTTTCGTAAATGTTTGTATTTTTGTGTTTTCCGTGTAAGTTTGTATTGTTTGTGTTTTGTCATATATGTTTGTATTGTTTGCGTGTGTGGTTGTTCGTGTAATTGTTGCTGTTGCTGTTTGTTTGTACTGTTGTTTGTGCTAATGTTTGCTATTGTTTGTGTTATTCTTTGTGTGTGTTTCTGTTGCGATTGTGTTGCTGTTTGTGTTAGTTTTACTGTTCCTGTTATATTTTGTGTTGCCATTTGTTTTTTGTTTGTGTTGTTGTGTTAACATTAGCTGTTTGTTTAGTTGTTTGTGTTGTTGTTTATTATTTGTTTGTGTTATTGTTTGTTGTATTTTGGTCCTGTTATTTTTATTTCTTTGTACTGTTTGCGTTTTAATTGCTTTTGTATTGCTTTGTTTTTAAATTGATGTTGTTCTTAGTTTGCCTTGTTTAAATTGTTTTCTTGCTGTTTATTTATATTTAATTTTGTATTTGTTTCTGTGGGAAGTTTTCTGAAATGTTCCGCTACAGTGATTTGGTAAGTATGTTGTTTGTTTCCTTGATGGTTGCAATAGTTGGGTTGAACACTCAGCAAACACCAACATTATGACAACTCACAGGTATTATTTCAGCCCATATTCTCCAGTATAACACTTACAACTGATATATCAGAAATCGAGATGCACAAACATACAAACACAGCTATACCTACGCAGAATATAAGATATGCAAGTATACATTACGGAATATCTATACACACATTACGACACATCGAGCCACATATTACGAGATATACTGTAGCAACTCTCTTTTCTTTATGTCTTGTTTTGTCAAACCAAGGTTGGTTTGAGTTTGCTTTTCGAGCAGTCATCTGGAAGAGTATAGACGAGGAGGAGTGAGGGTGATGTCGATAGTGGTAGTGATGCTGAAGATTTTCCTTAGTTCTGGCTCATCACATGAGAACCTGTCCTCCAGTCCAATTGCTTAGCCACAATCTACAGCATGACACTTACACATTCAAGTTCCACTTAGCCACAGTTCGGATCACACGGCTAAACTCTCAGCGTCCATCGTTAATATTTACACCACCTCAGTCAGCTCACAGTAGGAATACATAAGCATTACTTTTCTCTCAGCCTTCATTCAGCGCAGATTTCTGTAAAGACGTATAGCTTTCAGTACAGACGATCAGCTTTCAGTACATACAGTCACCTTTCAAACCTCCCTTCTCTGGAACTCTGTCACAGACTAAATTCCTATTCGGCTATTCCCGCAGTTTTCGCGTGTTCCCACAAAGTTTACACATTCGCCAGGTGTCACGTGTCTTATCGATAGTGCGGCCAGTCTAAACGTTTATGTCTGTGATGGTCTGTGTGAGAGATCCCTCGTCCTTAGCATTGAGTCTTTAACTCGAAAGCTGAAGATTCTAGTCTGTGAGGTTATAGTTGACTAGTCCCTCATCCTCTGAGTCTCAGCCCCTGAAGATTCTCGTCTGCGAGGTTCCATAGGACTAGCCCCTCCTCCTCTGAATCTTGGTGACTGAAAGTAATAGTCTGTGAGGGTCTATGTGACAAGTCCCTCTTCCTCTGAGTCTTAGCTATTAGAGTGTCAGCTGTTAGAGTGTCAGCGACCTTCTCTGTTCTTTGTTTACTCTAGCTCGTATTGTAGGCCCATAACAGAAACAAATAACCTATCCATTTTATAATATATATAAATATATATATCCATTTTATTTACCTTTCACTCATTCATCATACTTCAAGAGCGTTAATGTTTCTGTAGCTGGTGTCCAAATCCGTTGTCGATGATGTATCGGACATTCTTGAAAAAATTCATACTGAGACGGTTTTGAAAGCTTCCGTTGAAAAATTTGGCTTTTTTCAAACAGTGGAATAGCGAAGGATCAGTATTCTGGCTGGTTTTTTTTGTAACAGTGTCCTAAAAGAGGATTTCTCGAAAATACAGGTAATTTACATTAGTTCTTGTGAGAGGTGCGTAATGGAGAAAAACCTTTGACTTGATTTTGATAATTTCAGAATAGTACTTTTTACGAACTGTCTGTTACTGCCACACTACAGATCAGTAGTAATAAAAATCTGTATACTGGACGAAATGAACATACAATGTAACAATGTTATTTCTTGACTTCTATTTATTGGAACTTTCAAATTTAACTTTCAGTATAATGGCAACAGGTCAGTAGTAATAAAAATCTGAATACTGGACGAAATGAACATACAATGTAACAATGTTATTTCTTGACTTTTATGTATTGGAACTTTCAAATGTAACATTGAGTATACTGGCCTAGCAGTGTTATGTCTTCAGCTCAGCGTATTGGCACTGGTAACTGTAGAACTCCATCTATTTACACTGTTATGGACTGATCTTCGTAATACTGGAATACAATTGTAACATTGTTTTATTTTTTTATTTTATCACAATCTGCTGAGGAAATCAGCTGTTATTTTGCACTCCTTTTGTGTGAGTAATGTCAAACATAGTTCTGGAGAAGTAGTGCCCAACGAGCTATTCTGTTTTTTTTTTTTTTTTTTTTGGGTACTCGTGTCTTTGTTACCAACAAAGCTTGTTTTCGGTTTGTATGAGAAATGGTCGTCCTAGCAAATACCTTTTCAACTTGGAGATGCAGACAACATATCCCAAACACTCCTGTTCCCATGTAGCATATCTCTACTCTGCTGGGGTCTACTTTCTGTTGATAAAACATATCGGATGCAGGATATAACCTTCGAGTTGCATTAGGTAGCCTGCAATTTCATTTCCACTTGCATCACATCTGAGGATAAAAAGCAATTTAAAATTAGATAATTTTAGATTTGGGAGACTGAAGAACAGCGTCTTGATCCTGGCAAAGGTCTGGTCAAGATCTCTACTCCACTCAGTTGTATAGGCAGAACCTTTTTTTAAGTAATCTTGTAAACGTGCCATTTCATGACTGAAATTTGGGATGAATTTATTCTAGTAATTAATGAGCCCAAGTAAGCTTCGGACTTCTCTTTTTTAGTTGTGGGGTTTTTATTGTTCAAAATGTTAGAAGTAATTCTGTCATCATTTATGAGCATTCCTTTTGAAATTGTATGCCCCCCACCTCCCACCCAAAAAATCAATTTCCCCGAAACCAATTTCAACTTGAGACGGTTTAACTGTCGATTCCAATTTTTATATTTTCCTGAAAACTGCTCTGAGCGTGATTCTATGTTATATATTTCACAAACTCATCACTAAAAATACACATATCGCTAATGCAGGTTGCAACATCTGAGATATCTGTTAACAGTAATCTAGTTAGCCAAGGGCAGTTACCAAGAATTTGTCAGCAACTGGATCTAACAGAACGGAAAACTGGACAGAGAAATTAGCTCCAGATGTGCCAAAGCTAATCAAGTAATGGGTCAACTATCTCCCCTGTTGACACACAAACCTCGGAGTACTAAAGTGAATCTTATCAGAACTATTTTTTGGCCAACACTATGCTATCGATGCCAAACGTGGACATTTACATCCTCCAATGAACGTAAAATTGTGACAACAGAGATGAAATGCCTTAGAAGAGCTGCGGGAGTTTCAAAGAAAGACAGAATACGAAATCACGAAATCAGACGAATGTTAGGAATAAAGTCAGTCTTACAGGTCATCAAAGAACAACAAATGAAGTGGTTTGGACACCTAACAAGAATGCCCTGGTACTATCCGCCACAGCGAGCCATACTTAAACGCTGTAACGGGTATAGAGCGAGTGGAAGACCTCAGAAAAGAGGGAGTGATGGCATTCAGAACAGCATTACAGAAATGAACATCAGTCTTAATAGTGCTCTTGACAGAGCCCATCAACGAACATTACATCTCCCCCCGACACTTCGATGAGGTACACGGTGGAAGAGAAAGAGAAAGAAAAAAAAAAAAAGAAGAAGGATCTGAAAGAACTCTTTTATTTCGTACTCGGTAATTGGACTCTGTCTCTGTCAACTATATATGCTAACTTGCTGTTTCAGGTTTGTTTGTAAGGTTGCCTGAAGCGCTATCTTCTTCTCTCTAACAGCTATTTCTTTCTCTTAAGTCACTGCCTCGATCTATCTGTTTAGCTTTTTTTCTGTGACTAATTCTTTCTCTCTTGATACTGCCTCGATCTTTTTAGTTTTATTCTGGGCTCTAGTTCAAGCTTTCCTTACTCTCTTTCTTCTGCTCGATCCTGTCTTTCTTATTGATCTGCCTATTTCTTGTCAGCCCATTTAAGTATCTTGTTCCCAGTCCAGCCATTCTGTCTGACCATCTCGATGAAATCGGCGAGACTAGACATCCTGCAACAATGTAAATATATATTTAAAAAAACACCATAGAGCTATATAAACATACATTACTAGATATAAAAACACACAATAGAGCTATATAATCATGCAAAACGAGATGTACACAGAACATTAATTTTTTTCTTGTCTACTTTTGCAGGCGCTGGTGAACACTGAGTAGACAGGAGCAGCAGAACAGTGATGTCCCCTTGCGTTCATTACAACAATGATGTCCTCTTGCGTTCATTACAACAATGTCCTCTTGCGTTCATTACAACAACGATGTCCACTTGCGTTCATTACAACAATGATGTCCTCTTGCGTTCATTACAACAATGATGTCCTCTTGTGTTCATTACAACAATGATGTCCTCTTGCGTTCATTACAACAATGATGTCATCTTGCGTTCATTACAACAATGATGTCCTCTTGCGTTCATTACAACAATGATGTCCTCTTGTGTTCATTACAACAATGATGTCCTCTTGTGTTCATTACAACAATGATGTCCTCTTGCGTTCATTACAACAATGATGTCCTCTTGCGTTCATTACAACAGTGATGTCCTCTTGCGTTCATTACAACAGTGATGTCCTCTTGTGTTCATTACAACAATGATGTCCTCTTGCGTTCATTACAACAATGATGTCCTCTTGCGTTCATTACAACAATGATGTCCTCTTGCGTTCATTACAACAATGTCCTCTTGTGATCATT